ATATTCGTTGATTTACCCCTGTTAGTCTAAAGCTAACAGTCAGGGGGGGTTACTAACCTTGGAAAGCTTGTCAGTCGATCGAAGATCTATATTGCCATGTCACGCAGCTAAAAACGAGAAAAAAGCTCTAGCTCACAGATGACCAGAAGTCTCCATTCCATGAGAGGTCTGACGGATATATTGCAGGCAGGGAGCTATATATCTCTACTCCCATAAGATTCAGCAGATATCTTGCGAGCAGGCGGGTAGACAAGCAGACAGCTTGGCAGCTAGAGATTAATATATTCTGTTATTCTATTGCAGAGTAGTCTGCACGAAGAATGTGTAATGCGGGTGAAGAGCAGGCAAAGACAAACAAATAGGACTGGCAGCATACGTATATAAATAATGCGATTTTGGACAGCAGTTACATCGACCTATATTAAACTGTATGTTTCTCAGCTGATATTATTCGCTGTTGATCGAGCTTATTTAGTTAATAGAGTCAGAGAATCTTCAAAAGAAAGGAAATTTATTAATGTTGACTTTTTCTCAAGTTTAGGTGGTGAAGTGGCTCAATCCATACGCCATTCTCCTGATGATGACTGACCTAGTTACCTCTGGATGAACTATTTTAAGGCGTTTCACTTTTCATGTTGCTTTCTCTAGTTACAACCATCAACCATCTATCTCAAACGCCATTAAAGCACCAAAGAAACCAACTCCCAACAGCCCAAAGGCCAACCAAGCCACCGCAATGCTTGTCCAATTCATTGGCCGCTTTCGCCAAATCTTCAATACCATCCAGAACCAAGCTAATTTATGCGCATAAAGAGGCTTCGATCAAAGAACCATCTCAGCATCTGCTTGTCGCTTAGTTACACTGCCGAGTCTAAGGGATACAGGTGTCCGTCCTCGGCCATGTTGTTCCATCCAAGGAACAATGCAGCTCTGGTTTCAAAAGCCAACAAAAAAACCAAAAGCTGAAGAATTCTTAGAAGTTCTCTAGCTCTCTGAGGAAAATTGAAACCTTTTGGGAGTTCTCTTTATACCTGCTTTTCCATTTTTGGGTGAAGGATAGCTTGCTCTGGTGTTGCAGCTTGTTACCTTTCAAGAGGACTCCCCTCCCGTCTCTCGTCCCAATGCTTCTTTGTCAGTTCTGTTCGAGGCTCTTCAAGAGTCCTGTAGATAGCAACTACAAGTTTCGCGCTTCCGTTGCTTCTTTGTCCAGCTACAAAGCATGGATGTACGCTTTTCTCTGATGGCTATAACTATGCCGTGCGATGAACATTTCCATATCAACATGTGTCTCTTTTTCTTTCGCCTGAGTTACTGTTTCAGGACAGCTTTGAGGGCTTCGGTCTGCTGTATCCCATTCGAACTTTCTCAAATACCGTGGCGAAAGGAGAAAAGACGGCTCACCAGAGTCGAGACTTCCCCGGCGTGGCCGCTTGACTAGGCGAAACTGCGGCAATTGCAGCTTCCAGCTCATCATCTTCTTGTAGGAACTCCTGGAAGTTATGATCTGAAGACTTTGAACCCCGACGCCATTGCTTTCTGACCTTCCCGTCGTCAGGGCCCCCAGGGAGCAGCACGCTTGGCCACTCGCCGAAGTTTCTTCTGACTACAAGAGTATCGAGGTATATCGCCGGAATCTTCCAGCTGGTCGACTATGCACATTCCAGAAGACTCCAGTGAAAGTTCAGGCGGGAGTACCCCGACATGGTCTGTATCGGTACCTTCCATTCATCAGCAGGTATGCTGAAAGTACGGGATCTTTCTAATTTTCGATATTATCCGCCTCTGTAGTACCTCTTCGTCATCTTACATGGAACCGGGAGTGCTGTATGTGCAAATGCAACCTTCGGGCAAACCCGCATTTGTCCGTCGGTCAAGAAGATACAAGACCCCCGGCTCTTTGTTAGCAGATGCACTATTTAATCCTCGCCCTATCGTACAGAAGCATAGCCAATATCAAGCGCCAGATACCAACAGATTTGAACCAGCAAGCCCTCCTGAACCCCAGCAGATTCCAGTACCATCATATGAACAGTTTCTACAATACCCGCCTCCCCAGCAGCACCCAATACCGAATCCACTAGCCTCGTTCCCGAACGACATGGCGCAGAATTTGGTGCAAATCACCGATCCTTGTGAGGCATCGTTCCCCAAATGGGAACCTAAGATAGGTAAACCCGCACTTTTGGTTATTGCAGAAGGTTTCTGCGGTCATTGCTCAACTCGATTCCCTCATATGTGTTGTCATTCCTGTGATTGCAGGAGGCGCCGGAGAAACCGAGATTACAACGGGTCCAAGAGAGGATGCGATCGCATTGCGCGCAGGAACGACTGTGGCTGTACGAGAGAAGATAGTTGTATGGACAGCAGTAGTGAAAGCGATGTCCCGGTTAAGAAGCACAGCCATAAACACAAGAGAAAAGGAAAAGGGAGAAACAAGAGTTTTTTGAAGAAGTCCGCCAACGACGTATCCGACAGCAGTGATGAAGAGGGTCAGAGCGGACGTGTGCGCTTTAGAGAGCCAGTGCGGCCGGATAGGCATGGTGCTAATCGTGTTGGCTCCGGGATATACGACCCAAGGACCGGTACTGTGCATCACGCTAATCGCACAGATGGAACAGGCCACAGACCTGTGCCTACCGTTGATGCGAGCATGTACGCAAACCAACCGACGGTTCCCACACAACAGAATTTGGCATATGCTCCTGGATACTACCCACCTCATCTGCCACCCCATCCTCATCCAGATAGCAACGCAGCGATACCCACCTATCAACCCTCGCATCGACCAGCTCCGGAATGGGCTGCACGAACTTATTACGATGATGATCGAAGGAATTATGAATCGAACACCGACGGTGAGGTAGCAGATTCACGTAGCCGTAGGAGAAGGCGTGGCCGCTCTCCTACGCCTACGCCGATTGCTACCCACGATTTACGATACCCAAAAGAGGAGCGTATGCGAAGCCCTGGAAGTGAGTTCTCCCATATCTTTCGGCCCCTTTAGGATCTTGTAGAAGGCTATCTAACCATTTACTTAGGGGTGAATGTACCCGACACGTACTATGATCCGCCCGATACCCCTTATCATTCTGACTACCACTATGTTAGGCCTCGCAGTCCAGATCGATACGAGCGGTATCCACGCGATCCGCCCCGCGAACGCAGTTATTCAAGACGCAGGCCGGTGCCAGGACCCCGTACCCCAGGCCCCCACTCCGAGCGACCGCGGGTGGTCGAGATGAGGCGTGATCGACGGCCTGATGAACTCGACCCACCGACACGTCCGAGGCGCGGGTATTAGGGTCTGTTATTTTTATTTATAATATTGGGCTTCTCGAATGCTCCGCCATAGTCATTTCCCGAACTTAATGCTCCCATGGAAGTGAAATGTATTTCTTTCTCATACAATTAGTATTATTGGCTACTGATTTGCACAAGAAGGATAACAGCCATTCTTCATGGTTCTTGCTTTCTTATTTGTTTGGAGGAACTTTTGTTATCTAATATATGTATTTATATATATACACGTAATAGCTGGTCTTTTTAGATGCTATACGCATTCGTTCCGTCCTATTTTTGAGGAGTTTGGTACTATCATGATTTGCATGGTCGGATTTTTTGCCAGCTCCGGAGCGAGTGTCCGTTACATAATATATAGTTCTAACGTTATCCATGAACACCTTTTGTAATGGCATACTTTTTTTTTTCTTTTTCTTTTTATTTTTTTTTGATACCTCCAATTTCAACGACCTCACAGTTGTAGCATGGTATCTGATAACTCCATAATCGTACAATAAAACATCGAGAATGTTTAGTATAAGCATGGCCACGGTCCCCCAGCCCTGACCGCAACGAAATCGAAGACAGACCACGACCAACTGGCCAATACCCCTGTGACCTGAGCACCAACACACTTCAATTCGAATAACACTGCACCCTTGGGCCCGGTTCTGTCCATCCCAATCCGGATGGCAAAGTGCAGTACAATTAAGCCCGCAGCACATATAGTATCCCTCACATAGCCCAGGGATATCATCACAGCGGTCGTCGTCTGCAAGGTATTATCCCAGAATTCATTCTGGACGTGAGTTGGGCAGGCATGGGCCCTGTATTCAAAAAGTTACTAGTAGTAACGAATGGTAAATGGATACCCCGAGCTCTTTTGGCTGGCACCATACTATGTATTCTAGCTGTGTAGCAAGACTTATGACGAAGTAGGGCAGTAAAGGAGCTGAAAATGATGTGATGAACAGGAGAACTTGCGGGGGATCAGGGTTTGGATGCGCTGGGGATGGATTACCTACCTAGCTCTGTCAACGATTCATAGTTCCGGAATTAAGAAAATGGTGAAACTTTCCTGCTTCTGCAATGCATAGTTATGTACGTACATGTACATACATTACATACTTACAATTGTCTATTGGACGCAGCTAATAACGTATGGAGAGATAAGTTTGTTCCCCTTGACAACTCAGTTTACTGAACCTGTCTGACAAGAGATCTTCCTGTTCCACCGGGGAGTGAGCTCGGTTTCAACTGCAAGGAATTGTCTCAGTCATATTTTCTTCGGATGGTGCCGGCGGCCTAAGACCCGCGATTTTGCTCAAAGGGGGCCCAATAATGAACACCACCAACGTTGGTTGGGTATATGACAGATATATGCCTAGCCATCGTGCAGGATTGACGTTGGAAGTTGGAGAATTGGATCCCGAGCACTTGATTGGCTGTTTGCCCCGTGTCTTATCATGTGATATGCAACAATTCATAACAAGTTAATCTCAAGTAAATTCCAACATAATGATATGCCCCTGGACACATAGATGACCTCTATTTAGCAGTTATGTTTACTGGGTTGGATTTTCTTGCGTCTGTGGTTACAATACGTGTGGCAGATTCTGAGTTGTCTAGGGTCTCTTTGCAATTGGCGCCGGAAATAGATATTTCAAATACAAATAGTAGCCAACCGAATCTAAGGGGCGCTTGAAACGAAAGAAGCCACTTCATGACGACAAATCATCAATCCTCCCGAGCAAATATTCAACAAGCCGGTACGATGCAGCAGGACTATATTGGGGTCCCATATGTCCCGTCAAAAACAGTTCCGCATACGTAAGGCCCCTTTCCGTCCTATGTTTACCCATGACACCTGCCCCCGCCAGAGACGATACGGGATCGCCAGTATGATAAGGGACGAAAAGAGGATCTGTCGGTTCAGCAGTAAATCCCTGAGAACCATGCCAAGTCATATTCTGGATAGTTAGCAAAGTCCCCTGGGCCATAAGTATGAAATCCAGATCTCCATGAGCAATAATAGTGCGTTTTGACTGTTCGATGACGGATGGTAGAACACTGTAAGAAGGTGGCGGTGACGTATCGGTTCCATTAATAAAAACTGGATCACTTCCACGCGAGCATTCTGACCAGGAGGTCAAGGGGGCGTTGATGGCCTGTTGCACATCGGAACGGTTGAAGTAGATTTGTGCGCCGTCGGGGACATACTGGAAGCTACCGGGGAATCCCAGGGGGTCCCATAAAACAGGGCAGGTTGTCGCTACATGATAGGCGTTGAAGCAAGGGTTGATATAGGATATGGCATTCCGTATGGAGGAGGCGATATTACAAGACACATTAGGGGATGGTAGGGGAAGTTTGCCGTTTGGTGGGTAGACGAGATACTGATTTAGATATGAGGTATAGCCGCAGTAGTCGGCGAGGGAGTGTATTTCTTTGCTGAAAGAGGAATTGAAAGGGAATAAGCCACTCCATTTGTCGACGAAAGGCACGGCGGGTACTGGATACGGATTTTAGTCATTTTGAAATTCGATCAATTGTGTGAGAATTTCGGACGAATTGCATACCACTCACCATAATTTCATCAACATTAATGGAAGGATCATAGATGAGAGTGCCTTGAACGTCGAAGTATTTTGTATCGTTTTCTTTAAACATTGCGTCTGCAATGTAGGGTATATATTTCCCAGCATAGCTCTCACCAGTCAAGTAGATCTTTTTCCTGTGAAGCCCAAAGATATCAAGGAAATTCTTGAAGAAGTCCAAAAATTGTGCCGCAAGTTCTTCCTGATTCGTAATGTTTGGACTTCCTTGCGTGAAACCGGTCCCAACAGGCCTAACGAAGGTTTAATGTATTAGGACTGAGTGGGACTCATCTATATAAAGCTGGATCAATTCACGGCAGCCATCACTTACTGTTCAACCCAGATCATATTCGTAAGATTCGTCCAACTCCACATGTTCCGCACAGGAGCAAAAGTTCCATATTGATGGATAAAGGGGCCATTTTCCTGAAACAGGCCCTCGAGCGAACTGCAACCAGGCCCACCATTGAGCCAAATTGTAACTTCGTCTACTGCGAGCGGATCCGAAGAGGGCATAAACCAAAAGTACAGCTTGCGGGACTCCTGTGGATCGGAAGAGATGGGCAGAAGACCAGCATATGCTTCTCCAATATCAAATGGAACGTCTGGGATATTCTCGCCATTGAGCAAAAACACTAGCATACGTCAACCGATTATGCCATCCAAGGGAAATAAGTAGTTGGGTAAAATTCAAACCTCGGGACTTTTCATTCAAGTAACGACTCTCCCTGTGTAAAGCTTCATTTCTCAGCCACGCAGCGTCTCTGGTTAATTGGGCAGCAGAAGCCGTAACGGTAGTCCAGAAAGTTAAAAGCCATATAGAAAAGGCCTGCATCGCGAAGAACAGACACGCCAAGCGGCGTCATATAGAGCCAAAGCAATTGTCGAGCAGGAATAGGACAGCCCTTCAACTTTAAGAGTAACTGCTCCAGGAATAAATGCGATTTAACGCCTGTATATCGACTAGCTACCGAATTCTATCGGGAAGATGTTAAAAAACACCGCAATTTATGGCCAGTAGCTCAGCAATTTCAGCTCGCGGCACTACAGATTTATATAACACTGGATTCCCCATATCTAGCCCGCGAATTCATTATAGTACGTCGACGGCGCGTCATCCGGTGGCCATGTTCATACAGTTTCCAGATTAGGCGACATTTGTCGGCTTGTAACAGCGAGGGCAGGCGCATATCCCTTAGCCTTTTAGCCCTTAGCACATGAGGGCGAGACTCTGTCACGTTATTATTATTTGCACTCGCATAGTGCAGGAGCGTCCGGGGGTAAAGTGCGTGAAAAGCGTCACTTAGTGGGGTGAACCAGTTGTGCCTATACGTACGCTATACAATTGGTGGACTAAACCAGATTTTAATCCCATTTCCGTCGGAGAATTTCCTTCCTAGCTTCAGTATTCGAATGGACCGGAGATTCGCCCATGGTATTCTTGGATTTATATGTATCCTTAATTGAGTCATCCATATCCATAGAAGCAGCCCTACATCCTATTCCTCGCCACTTGCGCTCGCCGAATTCCTCCTCTTGGTAAGCTCTCCGATACCAATAAAACCTAAGATAGCTCTTTGTTGCCCTCCAGTACCTGGTTCTCGCATCCACAGGCATCATATGTAGGGAACAGGAATCCATTCTGCATTGGCTTCTCGTCCGATTAGTATGTAAAACGGGTTTTCCGGGCCCGGGGGGGGGTTGTGAATTTCCGGTACAACAGAGTTGTTGTTGTTGATGGACAACACATCCATTCGGCACTTGCCGAGAGTATCGCGCCGGACAGACTGGGAGGTTCAATGCGTGTCGTACAAAACAGTGGGACAAACAACTTTGTTTCGGTCACTGTTTTGGTCCAGCCCAGGTACAGCGTGTAAGCTTCCAACCTTATCCCTTATCTTGAGCCCTGGGATTGTAGGGTTTCATCGTGCAAGGCATAGAGGCCAAGTGGTGTTGTGATCCAGAATTCGCAATCAAAGAGCAAGCATCATAGAAACTTCCCTCCGGAAAATCGGGTGTTAAAATCAGAGGAGCGGTTGAGCAACTCTCGCCGCTGGGCATGGTTGATCTTTGTTGGACCGCGAATATCCTTTTCTTTATCGAACGGGCGGGCACTGGGGTCATCTTCTTCCTCCTTTGAGGGCTGGGATTGATGTTGGGCATAGAGTGTCTTACTCCGCTTCTTTTCCTGTAGGAAGCCGTCAGCTAGCTGTTCTCACCCTCAATTCGCGTTGTACACTGGTTAGACATACGTTATATTCTCGTACCCGTTTCGCCATCGCAACGTCATGTTCGGAGCCCTGTACCGTTGGCGCGGCGGTGGAATTTGCTGGGGCTTGTACGCCCAAAACTTCAGCCTCTAGCCGTTTTCGCTTGTCCTCCGCTGTCTCGGTCCAAGTGCCGATCCCAGACGAAGTTTTAGGCACCGCACTCCTGCCCATGTTGAATTTCCGATTGCGTATCTTTGTCGGATCGACGCGTGAAGACCAGTCGCCATGCTCTGGGGGGTGAAGCATCCAGTCGTCTCTTTGTGCAGCTCCTGGCTTTTCCTCATTTAAATTCCTCTGATTTTCCTCTTTATCTGCCACGACAGTCAACGCTGTGTCTGTGGGAGGCAAGGACGGTCCATAATCATCATCACTCTCGCTTCCACTACTGCCGCTGTCCTCCTCTTTTCCGAAGTTGGGTGGTAGCGTCGGTCCGATGACTCTTTTTTTTTTGCTCCGTTCATCCGTGCCATTGGACTGAGGCTCACCAGAGGTGTGTTGATCATGGTCTATTTCATCGTCTTCATTGCGCTTGCGCTTGTCTCCAGGAGAGGCCGGCCGCCGTGTGCCTGCCGGTGACATGTTTTATGTTCCTAGGGTGGTCCGCCTGGAGTTATAAAGGTTTAGAGGCGCCAGATATAAGAAGAGTTTATGGTGAGAATCGAGAATCGAGCTGCACGTGGGTAGGTCTTTTTTCCTTGTTTAAGAATATTCTCTGCGTGCTATTCGAGCATGACGGAGGTTTGGGTTAAATAACTCCCGGACGGCGGAAAATTATTGTTCCGCAGCACGCACTTGGAACAAGCTCAACCTCCTTTTCCTCTCGCCGCCGTCAGGATTCGGCGCAACTACAGACTAGGTGTATCGGCATCGCATCTTGTTGACCCACTGGACCACTGCCACATGCTTTAGTTATTTTGCTTCAACTACCAGAAATACCCCATATGTCTCAAACTAGCATTTCCATACAACAGAGTGGTTGTTGCCAACCTGTGAGTCCAAGCTTGACCGGATTTCACTGGGCATGTATTTGCCTACAACAAACAAGAAATAGGATAGATATACCTGTCCTTGCTCAAATACGTTCGATACACCGGTTTACCCATTTTTGGGCAATGATTGTCCTGCATACCATACCGTGCATCACTTTTGGGATCGACCTCGAGAGGTGTGGACGGTGATATGTCCGCCAGTTCATCCGAGCTTCGCCTAGAGATTATTGGGTGAAACCAGGCAAATGAAGCTCAAGAACCATCGCGGACAGACTTCTTGCCGTGAACCCTGCTCCATAAGGCTAGAGCAGAATGTAAGAAACGATGCACATGCAAGCTGGGCGACTCTGTTGCGCGTCAACTTTGTTCTTCGCGGTCGCACAAAAAGCATCCGTCAAAGATTTTATTTGTCGTTACTATCGATTTCAATTCTCTTGTCTCTGCGTTACACGACCGGTCTAATGTTGGACTGGTTGATACTCAAATGCTAACTGGAACGGGACCCACTTCGAGTATGAAGGTTGCATATCATTGCGACCCCCCTGGAAGAGGTAAATGGAAAGGATTTTTCCATATTTATACCATGCGCCTCGCTAATGCCATCCTTTTCTTTGGCCTGTAAAATCAGGCGAAACGGCAGAACAGATTCTATTACATTTTTCTCCCTAAGAATATGAAAAACTAAGTTGTTGGTCGATAGCTATACGATCATGGCATCCCTAAATAGACAGCTGATTTTGATGCGAAATGCGCGACAGGCGGCTACTTTTGATCCGTATAGACTGACCTGCATCCTCCATAAGGGGTACAAGGACTCCCGGAAAGCGTTGTTTCATTACCCTCTCTTGAAATATATATGCCATTGCTGATAGAGCTATTAATAGGGAGGAAACTGTCCAAAGGCGGCGAGAAGCCTTTTGGCGGGTGGAGCAGGCAACGGGTACAGATGACCAGTCGAAGTTACCCGCAGCCTATGCCAATGCGGACCGTGAATCAGTATACCTACAAGGCGTTGAGGCAGGGACTGCCGCGTTTGTCGATGGAATTCGATACAATCACGACTTCTTTTATGGCCTAGACCAGTATTACACCCTCAGCAACGGCACGCCCTATGGCCTTCATTACATGATGTTTATTCCGACTGTTGAACTACAGGGTTCGTCCGAGCAAATTGAATACTGGGTTCCACTGGCAAAACAGGGGAAGATTTGTGGCTGTTACTGTCAGACGGAATTGGCTCATGGGACATTTGTACGAGGTATAGAGACGACAGCCACACTAGATACTGAGAAGGACGAGTTCATCATCAACTCTCCAACGCTGACGTCCGCAAAATTTTGGCCCGGAGCCATGGCATCGTCCTGTACCCATGGAATCCTTATGGCTCGGCTGGTTATTCGAGGGGAGGATCATGGCGTACACCCCTTCATTGTGCCCCTTCGCAACGTTGACGGTTTTAAGCCCGTGCAAGGCGTTGAGTTTGGCGACTTGGGGATGAAAATGGGATACAACGGCACGACGAATGGTTATGCTCTATTCTCGGGCTTGCGCATACCCCGAAACCACCTGCTCATGGGCCACACCAAAGTACACAGGGACGGGACTTATGTCCGTGCTCCACACGACAAAGCGGCGTACCTTACTATGCTCCACGCTCGCTCCACCATTGCTGCCGGAGCAGGATTCAAGCTTGCTCAAGCAGCTACAATCGCAACGCGATATTCAGTTGTGCGAGAACAGGGGGCAGGAATCGGCGATGGCCCCGAAATGCCCATCATCCATTACCGTTCTCAAAACTTTCGTCTCCTTACCATCATTGCGAGGTCATATGCTATACATTTCACGAGGAACACATTGGAATACTTGGAGAAAGATCTGAAGCACATAGCGTCAAACCATGATTATACCTCAATCCACCTGGACCATGTTCTCTTAGCGGGATTCAAGGCATGGAACACACAAGTTGCTGCTGATGGGGCAGAGGATGCGAGAAAAAGCTGTGGAGGTCATGGATTCGTTTTGACCAGCGGGTTGCCATCAATTGTGGCTGAAGCCACAGCGCCGGCTACCTTTGAAGGAGAGAACTATGTCATGTATCAGCAAGTCGGACGTTATCTGCTTAAATGCTGGAAGAATCTTAAGCTGGGAAATCCAATAGATTCCCGCCTGGGCATTCTTCGGGAAGCATTCACCCGGCTACAGACCACCCGGGGAAAGCAACAGTGTTGCAAAGCCTTCGGAACCGAGTTCCTAAACCCAGATATCCAATGCACCATCTTCAAACATCGCGCGTTCCGATTGCTACATCAGTGCAGCGAAGAGCTCGAGAACGCTGAACAAAAAGGTCAAAGCGCCGTAGATGCCTTCAACCATAACCTAGTGGAAATCATCGCTGCAGCTCGCGCATATATAGAACTCCTCGTTCTCCAAGATTTCATCAACAGCGTCGAACCCACCAGCGCCACTGACCCAGCCATATACGCAGCCCTTTCACGCCTTCGCTCCCTTTTCGCGCTCACGACCATTACACACCCTCAGTCTTACGACGCGATCTCATTTGTGGAAGACCAGCATCTAAACGCCAAGCAGATGAGGGATATCCGATGCTGCGTCAACGGCCTTCTCGACCAGCTTCTGCCGGATGCCATTGCGCTCACGGATGCGTGGGATTTCACGAATGCGAGTTTGCGCTCCGCCATTGGCCAGTATGATGGGAATGCGTATGAGACGCTGATGTCATGGACGAGGCAGATGCCGATAAATAGGGGGATGGAGCAAGCTGGGGGTACCTGTGAGGTGGCGTGGAACACATGGATTAAGCCAGCGCTCAGCCCGGAGTTAAGGGGGAAGTTGTGAGAAGTTTTACCTCCTCCCGCTGCCCAGGAGGGGGACTTGATTCCCATTTTTCTACTGTCTGCTATATTTATAACGTTTAACTTAGTATTTATTCTCAATTACTTTTGGGATAAAGAAAAATCCTAGATCATATGAAACTGGTGACTCGATTCTGCTTTACATGGACGAAAATTATGGATATCCACGTAATAAAAATAAAATTAGCACCTGCCACAACCCAGCAGAAAATCCCTATATACGTAGATGGATATAAGAAAAATCCCAATAATCTAACTGAAAAAAGGAGGACGAAACGTGGACGTTTCTTTAAATCAAACTCAGACTGTGTAAACAGATGGCTGTGCGCCCCGTAATACGCAGGGACTCATCATTACACCCGGTGAACAGTAGCTATGGGAATATGGGGTCTTGTTCCTCGGCGGACTTAGGTTCCTATAAGCTAGAGTGTCACTTCCACAGCCCCAGCAGTTTACCAATTAAGGCCTTGATACCTGGGTAGAACCCACTGCTTCTAACGGCACGTATCTCTATCTCCCCTGATCTGATAATAAATTAATGATTAAATTACCTGTAATATCCCCTTCTTCCGGCCGCAAAGACAATCTGTTTAATAATAGAAAGAAACTATATATATATAAATTGGTTCCTCCCTCCTTAAGAACGATCGTCGCTCAACTATCATCAATCTCCATCGGTTCAGCGTCATAAGGTGAATCCAAGTCAAGTGGTTCAGGCGACGGGAGCGTTGCAGACGTCGAGGATGCCAGTAAATCCAATGACGAGCCATACCGCGAGATAATCATACCCGGATCCCTCTGCCCCGTTTCCAATTCCTTCTCCATTTCCACTTCTTTCGCTTTCTCCTTCTCAGCAGCAGCAGCAGCCTCGGCCCTCGCCCGCGCCCGCTCCCTAGCCTCGATAGCAGCCATGCGCACACCGTCCTCCACCTCCGGCACGCTCAGTGACGACGGCAGCCGGTAGAGGACAAGCGCATTAGTGGTAGAGGGCACGCTTTTACTACTACCACTGTTGGCCCCTAGCACAGACTTAGGAACACATATGACTCTCTTCTCAATATCGGCGCGGATGAATGGGGTGTTGTTGTTGGCGTTGTTTTCGTGCGCTTCGATCTCTGCGATTTCGCTGTCTAGATCGTGGATGTAGACTCTGTGTTTTGTTTCGTCTACTTGCATGAATTCGTCTGGAGCGGTAGTGGGAGCGGTAGCAGGAGCGGCAGCAGCTGGGCCAGCAGCGACGGGTATTGGATGCTGATCTGCCCCAGGACCAGGAGCTGGTTGGGGCAAGACCAGGGATGTGTGAGGGGAGTCATTTTGAGGATTGAGCGGGTTGGGAATATGAGCTGGAATAGAAGATGGTTGAGCTGGGGAAAGCGAAACAGGACTGGACTAGGAAAAAAGGGGAGAGAAGAAGAGAGTTGTTTGAAGTAAATTTAACGCATGCATTTCAGCTAATTAATTAAATAGATAAATAAATAAATAAATGGTAGTGGGATAATATATTAAAAAAACAACAGTAAACATACCGATATGCAGCAATCCAAACTTTTTGGCCAGCCGTCGTTGCTCTCCCTCGAGCTCGTCCGCGGCGGGTCTCTTTTTGCCACGGCCTTGCACGCCCGCAGACACCACGCTCGCCGGCGCCATCCACCACCCCGAGCAAAGCTCCTTTGTTGTGGGTTGTCTGTCGCAGCAACCTTTGATGAGGACACAAAAACAAAAAAAAGAACAACAGTAATCGCGTGCCCAGGGACTCAGACTGCGCTGTGAGGAACAGGCATCGTGTTCCCGCTTCTTTCTAGCCCGCCCCGTTCGTGTCTCGATTGTTTTCTTCTCGGTTTGGATGAGAGGAGTTGGAGGAGAGAGAGTAGCGAGTGGAGTGGTGCTGCGTCGGGGATTGGGTTTTTCTAGACTCCGTGCTCGTGCTGGTGCTGGCGCTGGTGCTGGTGCTGGTGCTGGTGTTGCAGGTATCGGTGCAGCTGGTATTTGTGTTGGTGGTGCCCCCCGTGGTGTTTGTGGTGTTGGTCCGTCGCCGCCTTCGACACGCTTCTTTGCCCGCCGCCGCTTTCCCTCCCCCGCCATCTACAACTCCTCGACATCCACGCCCTCCCCCGTCGCCACTCTCCCTGCCCGCTTCCACCACCACGGTCTGGCTCATTCGGCTTTCAAGATGGCTTCGACGCAGACTGTCGAGCAGCCAGAGTGGTCTGCTCTGCGCGTGCGGAATGCCTTTCTGGACTTTTTCAAGGAAAATGGCCATACCTTTGGTAAGTGGCCTGGCTTCCTTTGTCGAATTTTTTTTGGACCTTTTTACCATGTGCGGGCAACATGTTTTATATATCTTTACATATACACTAACACCTTGGAAACTATATACAGTGCCCTCTTCTTCCGTTGTGCCTCTCTCAGACCCCACTCTACTGTTCACAAATGCGGGAATGAACCAGTACAAGTCCATCTTCCTGGGTACTGTTGATCCAAACTCAGACTTTGCGACCCTGAAACGTGCGCATAACTCGCAGAAGGTGGGTCATTTTGCCTTATACCCTCTTCTTGGTTATTATAAGGATATAGATTGCTAATGTGTGGAAATAGTGTATACGTGCCGGCGGAAAACACAATGTATGTGCATGACTGTGCGGGGTTTGTCAATCGGAGTCATACTGACAGATTTTTTTAGGATCTTGACGACGTTGGGAAGGATAGTTATCACCATGTAAGTTTATAGGTGACAGTGGTCATCGCTTTGCTGTATGTGTGGCGATACTGACATATTTCTGCTTTTCTCTAGACCTTCTTCGAGATGCTCGGTAACTGGAGTTTCGGAGACTACTTCAAGAAGGAAGCTATCAGCTACTCATGGGATCTTCTCACCAAAGTCTACGGCCTAGAACCCGACCGCCTATACGTGACCTACTTTGAAGGGAATCCCGATGCGGGCATCGGTCCCGATTTGGAGGCTAAGGAATTATGGTTGTCTGTTGGCGTTGCAGAGGATCATCTCCTCTCAGGCAATATGAAAGATAACTTTTGGGAAATGGGAGAGCAAGGCCCATGCGGTCCCTGCAGCGAAATCCATTACGATAGAATCGGAGGCCGTAATGCGGCTCACCTCGTGAACCAAGATGACCCGAATGTCCTAGAAATCTGGAATAACGTCTTCATCCAATACAACCGCGAGCCAGACAGATCCCTACGGCCTCTCCCCAACAGGCACATTGATACCGGTATGGGTTACGAACGCCTCGTTTCAATCCTGCAGAACAAGTCATCAAACTACGATACGGATGTTTTTACCCCGCTTTTCGATAAGATCAGGGAGATTACAGGTTGCCGACCGTATACTGGCAAATTCGGCGAAGAGGATACCGACGGAATCGATACTGCGTACCGCGTTGTTGCTGATCATATCAGAACCCTCACATTCGCTATATCTGATGGAGCTTCTCCAAATAACGAAGGGCGGGGCTATGTGGTTCGACGAGTTCTCCGGCGCGGTGCTCGATATGCGCGCAAATATTTAAACGTTGAAATCGGAAGCTTCTTCTCGAAAATTGTCCCTACACTCGTTGAGCAGATGGGCGATATGTTCCCTGAAATCAGACGGAAACAGACAGATGTGATGGAGATTTTAGACGAGGAGGAAATCTCCTTCGCCAAGACACTCGACCGTGGAGAGCGTCTCTTTGAAGAATATGCCCTCCAGGCTAAGCAGAAAGGACTTGGTAACCTACATGGAGCGGATGTGTGGAGACTCTACGACACCTTTGGTTTCCCTGTGGACTTAACCCAGCTCATGGCTGAGGAACGGGGCTTGACTATTGATAATGCCGAATTTGAAGAAGCCCGGCTAAAGGCAAAGGAGGCAAGCAAGGGCCAAGGGAAGCAAACTGCTGATGTAGTGAAGCTGACCGTTCATGATCTTGGCCTCCTCGAGACCATGGACAATGTCCCCAAGACGAACGACGATGCGAAGTTTGGTAGAGGAAACATCACCTCTCAGATCAAGGCGATCTACCACAACAAGAAGTTTGTTGATTCAACCAAGGATATCCCGGAGGGTGAACAATTTGGTATTATCCTTGACCGCACCAACTTCTATGCGGAGCAAGGTGGCCAGGAGAACGATACCGGAAAGATCATTATCGATGGCAAGGCAGAGCTTGCCGTTGAAGATGTCCAGGTATACGGAGGATACATACTTCACACAGGCTTCATGAAATACGGCTCCTTCAATGTCAATGACTCCGTCATTGCCGAGTACGACGAACTCCGAAGATGGCCCATCCGAAACAACCACACAGGAACCCACATCCTCAACTTCGCCCTCCGCCAGGTCCTTGGTGAGGGTGTTGAGCAAAAGGGCTCCCTCGTCGCCGCGGAGAAGCTACGCTTCGACTTCTCTCACAAATCCGCCGTCTCAGATTCCGACCTCGAGAAGATCGAACGGATATCCACCGACTATATCCGTCAAAACTGCGCCGTATATGCCAAGGATGTCCCCCTCTCCACCGCCCGTGAGATCTCCGGCGTCCGCGCCGTCTTCGGCGAAACCTACCCAGACCCCGTCCGTGTCGTCTCCGTTGGTGTCGAGCTCGAAGAGATCCTCCAAAACGTCCATGATCCGCGCTGGAAGGACATCAGTATCGAATTTTGCGGCGGTACCCACGTCCAGAAGACAGGGGACATCAAGGATCTCGTCATCCTCGAAGAGAACGGTATCGCCAAGGGCATCCGACGCATCATCGCCGTGACAGGCGAAGAGGCGCATGAGGTCCAACGCATCGCGAAAGAATTCGGTGAGCGCCTCCAACGCTTCGATAAGATGGAACTGGGCCCGCAGAAGGAGATGGAGGCCAAGTTGCTCCAGGTGGACTTGAACCAGCTCACGATATCTGCCGTTGAGAAAGTCCGGTTCCGCGAGCGGTTTACGCAGATCCACAAGAAGGTCGTCGAGGGGCAGAAGGCGGCGCAGAAACTGGAGTCGAAGAAGGCGCTTGATGCGATCACGGGCTATTTCGAGACACCTGAGAATAAAGATGCACCGCATCTGGTGTTGCAGCTGCCCATCTCGGCGAATCCCAAGGCAGTGAGCGATTCGTTGAATTTCGTCAAGACGAAGATGCAGAATAAGTCTGTTTACGTGTTTGCGGCGGATAAGGGGGCTGGGAAGGTTGTGCATGGGTGCCATGTTGCGCAGGTACGTACATGTGTCCGGTTTTTTTTTTTTTTTTTTTTTTTTTTTTTTTTTTTAAGATACTGGTCCCTGATGATTCCAAGCTAACTCGACTCCTTTGTTGTTTTAACAGTCTCTAAGTGCGCAGGGTGCAACACCTAATGAGTGGGCCAATACTGTCTCGAGCATTGTGGGTGGGCGTGCAGGAGGTAAAGCGCCTGTCGCCATCGGGAATGGTACGGAGGCTGAGAAATTGGAGGACGCCATCAAGGCTGCTACGGAATATCTGGAGAAGTTTAAACTTTGATTTTTTTTTTCTTTTCTCCTTTCTCTCTTACTCTTCTCTTCCGTATAGAAATGTTATATTATTCTATTTTGTCATTTTCTTTTTATCTTTGTTTTATTTTCATTTTCGAAATGGGAGTTGATTTTGATTTGTTGTGCGAACGGGGTTTCTAATACTTATATCCCAGGTTGATAGTTACTAAAAATATCAAATCATTTAACTAACCCTTTCATTCATGTCTATCCATGGCTTGGGACTCAGCGGAGTAAGCTGTGTTCTCATGGAAATTGTCAAAGGGGTTCGTTCGCTGTGTCAATTTTTTTATTTTTTTATTTTATATACATATAGATATATATATATACATATATTTCCTCTTTTACTACGAACCCAATTCATTGAGAGCTGAGCGCACAGTTACCCTGTTTTTCTTTTCCATCTCCAGCCATACCTTATCCCGGGTTTCTAAATATATGTCCTTTCGTTATGTAGCATAAGAAAGCACCCAGAGGCCCCCCCAGGCGATATTTTCGAACCACGCGACTCTCCACGAGTGCCTCCAGAGTGCCCATTATTACCTTCTCAGTGGCTGCAACGAGGCAGTATATCGTAACGGGGATAAATCCCATGTCTACTGTATTCTATATCTCATCTCATCTCGTCTCATCCCATCAGTCCGTCTTGATTTTTCCTGTCGCAAGAATACTAATACATCCCTCAACCATCCGCCCCGTTTACATCTCCCCACACTGCGCAATAACCACATCCTGATTCGGTTTATCTCTCGTCGTCCGCGTATTCTCAATCATACGAACGATATCCATGCCGTCAAGTACCTGGCCAAAAACGACATGCTTGTTGTTCAGGAAAGGTGTGGCGGTTGTCGTGATGAAGAATTGGCTACCATTAGTGTTTGGGCCGGAGTTCTACGTTGACAAATAGTTAGAAGAGACAAGAAAAAAGAGGCGATGTTACCCTAGTAGTTCGATTGGGTTTTGGTACCAGCGGAATGGCGCCTTTCTGGACTTGTATATGCACATGTAGTGTACATGTACTCTAGGTATATATATTTTGAAAGGGGGAAGTAGGGGGGGAAGAAAAGAGTAGCTGTGTGACTGACTTACAGCCATGCTCAAAAGACCCGGGCCATCGTGTGTCAGGTTAAAGTTTTCGTCGGCAAACTTGCTCGTGCCATATATGGTTGTGCTGCCGGTACCATCGCCGTTAATGAAATCGCCACCTTGGATCATAAAATCTTTGATCTGTTTGGAGGTCATCGGTTAGACACGCACGAGTTAAAAATAATGAAAGCTGAACGAGCAAAAGTCAAACATAATCCAGGTTATTTAGGGAGCTCGTCGCGGAGGCATGAGATGAGGTGAGAAAGAAAAGTCTGAAAGTAAGGCCAGAAACATCGGCTGAAAGGGATTCCATACCACTCGGTGAAATTTGGAGCCCTTGTAACCCTGTGGTCGGCCTCGGGGATTTTTGCTCTCACCCGTGCAGAACTGGCGGAAGTTCTCTGCCGTCTTGGGCGTGACATCTGCAAAGAGCTCCATCTTGATTCGGCCCAATGGTTCTCCTAGAGGCAAGCGGTTAGCATCAATTTTTATATAAAGGTTGAACGAAGTGTCCATGCAAGAAGGTTGGTTCGCGTATAGTGCTGGTGGTGAAGCATTGATACTCGTAGAAATGTAATGTAACACCCACCAGCAGCACTGATTTCTCCCCCTTTGCTTTTTCGTCTTCATGGGGCACGTGTGTAACGGAAGGAAGAAGAAGAAAAGAAATATCATCAAACCTCTTATGCAAGGTAATCTATACACATACCTCCAAGCGTCATATCAAAGAAGACCACGGGATTCGTGGGGTTGCGGGGCGTGAGGGCCGTCATATGGGTGATCTGATGTGTCAGTAGCTGGGCCCGCAAGTTTAAAACAAAGCGTGTGGGGTTTGTCTGTTATTATTATTATTATTATTGTTGTTATTGTTTACTTGTCTCCGGATATGGAGCGGTAGTACGGAGTAGTAGACCTGGATTGGTGTTGAAAGATCGCGGCTACGCGGTAACTTAGACGCGTAAGCGCAATTATTTAGCGCCTAGCTATGTGAAGCGCCTCGGCAATAATTCGGGATTTGCCACTCTCAATGATGTTTATTCTGCGGCATCGTTAACGACCGCTAGATGGCTGTCATAGTCTCCAACTTCACTACTGTTCTGGTTCTTCTTTGGGAGAAACACAGCTCTGGGTGGAGGAGAATGTTATTGAAAACAGTCGCCTTGTCCGAGTTTAGACCAGTAACAATGATATGTGGAAACTCATGTACAGTACAGTACAGTGCCTACAGAAGACTTGTATCTTCGTTCCATGAATTGATAAGGTCTCCACTCCAAGCTCATCAAATGGTTCTTCGCTATCGCTAGCGCCGGAGCCGTGGATCTATTTTGTCTCTCGCTATTACATTTCAGATGTTATCGACATACATAACTCTCGCTACGTTAGATGAACTCGAAAATTGGAGGTGGAGATGGAAACGTCCAATAGGACGATGTACATTCGCTTGAGGAAGGAGTCAGAGGATAAAGGCGAGCACGCCCTTATCGTCACTACCACATTCACGTCGCTGGCAGCATCATTGGTAGCCGCTCGTTTTTATACATGGGGTCTGTTGGTTAAAAAGATCGGTTCTGATGACTGGACGTGCCTAGTATCGTATCTCTGGTATGTTTAATGAGTCGATCCAGGTCGAAGTTGGGATGGACAAAAGAACTCGCTGACCACCGCAACCAGATACTCTCCATTGTATTCATGGGACTGCTCATTGGTGGTATGGTATGCAACCGAAAACTCCTTGAACGTGGCACATTTCCGTTCATCCCCGGCGAAGGAGACTTTGGATATTGGAAGGAAAACGCTAACGAACAAGTAGAACGGAAATCCGCACCTGGTGGTAGTAAGACTGAAATTTTGTTTGATACGATCAAGAAAAAAGTGATAGTAAGTCTCAAAGGTGATAACGTTTGGCGTCTTTTTCGCATGAGGTAACTGATTTTAATTCTGCAGCTCCTTTGTGCCTCTGTCCCAGTGCATAGTGCTAGTCTCTTCTGCAACAAAGCCTCGATCAGCCTGCAGTACCACAGAAGCTTCCCGGGGAGTCGAATACGTATAGCATGCTATGGCGCCCTCGCTTTCTTAACACTATACGGCCTCTGGGTGGTTATCGGGTCGTTTCTCATCTGCGTCCCCAGTGAAACGTTTCTGGGATGACACGGGATGACACGGTAGAACGCAGCTGCATGAGTCGGGATGCACTCTGGCTCTCCACTGCAATTGTGCACATCGTCACGGATATCATTCTGCTTGCGATCCCCATGCCGATTCCCATCAGGCTGAATCTTCATAAAAGGAAGAGAATCGGCCTCGTATTGGTTTCGCTCTTGGAGGATCGTAGGTTCGCCTTCTCTTCGTTTTCACCAATGTCCGCCGAAATATATTCCTGGCTCAGACAGCTAATTCAGCTCTCAATATGTGTTTGTATCACAAGTGGTCTTCGTCTTGAGAGCGTACGTCAGGTTGCGACCTTGGCTGACATGGTCTCCGTATATATTGTACTCGTAGAGTTGACCACATTCCACTGGTTCCCGCAAGCTAATCCCAATAAGATTCAGAAAGCAATGACGCGGCGGCCTCCTGGTCAGCTGTCAAATGCGATGTCGCGAGAATATGTTGCTCTCTTCCCACCCTACGGACGCTTATAACCCGAATGTTCCCAAACATATTTTCGAAGAGCAACCGTGCTTATGGAGGCGGCTCCAAAGGGAATTCCTGGTGTTTACCAAGATGGTTCGGGTCCCAGGGGTCTCGAGGAGCAATCGACCAGGAACATGATATGCAACCTTCCCAGAAAAAGCCGAGGGATGTAGAGGATTGTGGAGATTCAGGCAGGGGTGCGGATGGGGTCAGAGCAATCGAATCGATTTCACAGCGGCCCCTGTATATGACATAGAGGCAGGCTGCCGAACTGAACTAGTTTCGTTCACTCGATTCCTGGGGGGGGGTGAAATTTGGATTTTGCACATGCCAGCGTAGAGAATAGATATTAATTAAAATGACATGCGCACTGCTCTCTCCCACAATTGAGTCACAGAAATTACCACCTAGGCTATGAAAGATCAGGCAGGGGCTTTGGAACCGGAAGTTGCAAGTCATAATCCTCAGCATCCATATCATCTTTGTAACACAGACAACTCCTATATCAGCAAATCGTAGCCAGCTGCATCAACCTTCGGCGTGGACATCTGCAGTGCCGCTTGGCTTCCTTGGCAATCTCGTCGTTTCAAGTATTGTGTCTACTGCGTAGTACCTGCATGAAACGTAACTATGGGCCCGATGCTGCCCCATAAGGGTGCACGCTCGATATTCCTCCTTTGATGTAGTGTAGTGGAGACTGCGTAGGATGCTAAACAAAAGCAGCGTGTTGTCAGCTAACATCCCGAGCAGCTAGCTAGTGCTAAAAAGGATTAGTTTCGCAGGAACCGGCAGATGCATTTGTGGTTGCCATTATGACTATTATTATCAAATTTTTCGTCCAAGAGGGCTTGCGAGGACTCGCCGAGAAGGCAAATTTCAGAGCACATCTCATTCAATCATAACAAGGAAAGATGATTGAATATTGAAAGACACAGACAGTATCCGTAGTCGATTACCTGTTCCCAGTTATCATGCTCGTCAACACCATGGCTCTCTAGCCTCTAGAACGGGGCTATTCCCTGAAACTAGTGAGTTCTGTCGCCGCAGCACACACCGTAATTCAGCAGATTCGAGGAATAAAGAACGCAGAGATTTTGAGGCGGGTAAAGCAATAGTAGCAATAATTCTATAGTTATCATATATGTCATTATGCATGCAGTGGATTTTTCCAAGGCCCATTGTTTGTTATGAATCATCCCACAGTGGCGCTGATATTGGTGTATTCTTATTTATTAGACCGTCGAGGAGGCTAGGTCTGTTCAGATCCAAATTAGGACTAGCGCGCTAGTGCCGTTCCAACGCCTCACTCACCACCGACCCGACCTGACCAGTTTGCTATCTCCATTCCCCGTTCTGCCCGTCCTACTCCGCAGTCATCTCCATCACCCGCGCAAGGAGTTATGGCCTTGGTCGGGTCGCTGCTGATTCTACCGTTTCTGTGAGCTGTGGCCTGTGGCAATAACCGCCACGACCCCTGCGCCCTGGTGGAGTGGTTTTGAACTGCCTTTCTTCGAACCGTGACGGAGGTTTTATCGATTTTGATCCCATTCCGCTCGATCTCCTTGTTATAATCTGTTCAATTACTCCGTATTGATTACCCATTTGCTAAATATCTCGTGTTCGATTACGTTTCGTGGGCAGTGGTATATGCCGGAACTCATATCACTTCGCCAGAACGACGCCCTCTGCCTCAGCGGGACCCTTCACCGCATCCGCCACACCTACCTCGAATCCTCGATCCTTCTTGATTATCAACCCGAACCTACATCTGCCACACGGGATTCGCTGCCCCTTATATAGCTTTGTATGAACAGAGGGCGCCAGGGTGCAATGTGGCCGCCCAGTGACCCCTCATCGCCTCTATTTCCACATCTCGAACCAGTCATTCTTGACGGCGACATGGAAAATCCCTATGTTGATGGGAATATGAAATGTTTTGATCCTGCTGTATTACAATCATCAGGGACAAATGGGGGAGATGGTTTCGATGATATCTTCCTACGGCCTTCGACAGCCACTCAAGAATCCAACTCAACGTCATGCTTGTCGCCAGCTAGGTTAATGAAAGCAGGACATCAACCCTCCACGGCAAATTTTGCAGAAACCCATTCACCATTATCCGATACCCGCTCCGATTCTCCTCAAGCTTCGAGCCATAGCTCGTCAGCCGACTCGCCTCTTGGACATTTGCGGACCGGTTCTCTGGCGTCTAACAATTCTGCTGTGTTTAGCCAGCACAGCGGGGCAGGAGAACGCTTCTCTACTCCTGGGTGGCCGAGCTTGGACGACTTCACTGTGGGGGACTCGCCTTTGTTTGGGCAAACTAACGACACCCCATCATTTAATGGCGATTATATACTGGATACCGACCTGGAAACGAGCAATAAGGCTATGAGTTCTGCATTCGACTTTGATAGTGCCGCCAGCAGTCCCAGCCCTCTTAAGATGGAGATTGCTCCAGAAACTAATCTTAAATCTCAACGACCCAAAAAGGTATTTCGAGGCCCATCAAACACAATAAATCAAGTCATTGAATCCAATTCACCACCGTCCGTAAGTGGAGCAATTTCCCTTTCGTTTATGAAGCCAAGCTATTGACATCCTTCACACCAGAATTTCCCTCCTACCTCAGCCAACCCTTTCTACTTCCGTGGCTCATCAGATGCGTCGAAACCCTCAGTATTCTACAACAAAAACCAATCCGGTACGAACCAGTGGGACCGTCGATCGTCAGGTTCAGAACTAGAGGAGACTTTTGGAAGCATTAACATGAGCGGCACCGCCTCTCCTCTAAGCTCTACACTCTCGCCAAGTCTAAATTTCGGAGTGAATGCACTTAGCTTCGATCCGATGACACAACCTTCCGTTCCCCAAGTACCCACCAACGGTGACGCTGCATCGTTCCCTACGACCTTGAGTCAGCACAACTACCGTCAGCCACAGTTGATTGTTCACCCAACGTCTTTGAAGTCGCGAGTGGAAACTCAAATTCCGATTAAGCTTACGCTATGCCCGTTGCCGCCCGGTATTAAAAAGCTGCGACTCCCAAGCCATGCCATCTCCAAGCCAAAATTCCTCGCCAAACCTTCCTCTGGCCCTTCGCCAGAGATCCTTGAACTTCGTACGAACGTAGTCTGTACCAGTGCTATGCAGGATAAGAAGAAACTGGAACGAGCATATGCAAGAGCACGAGGGGAAGAACCTCAAAATACTCCTGCAGAGTCAGACTCTAAGAAAGAAGGGGAAGCTAAGGAGGAGACCCCGCTAGAGGGGGGAGATGTCAAGATATGCTCTGGGTGTATTCAAAGAGAACGAAAGCGGGCCTCGCGCAAAAAGCAAAGGAAGCCTGAAGAGGACGAATTGTTCCAACGGGACGAAGATAAACGAGTTATTGTGTTCAACACAACGCAACTGAAAGATTGGGTAGAACCCGCCAGAACCGTGGCAGGGAGTACTGAATCTCCTGCTGCAATTACCCCTCTCGGTGCGATGCAGGTCGAGCTGCCTATGCGAATTGCCTGTTATTGCCGACACCAGAATGAGAAGCTCGGATTTCAGTAAGTATCATTTCAGTCTACTTGACTAGGCATTGCTAATAGATGAATTGCAGGGTGATTTTTACGATCAAAGATCACCTCGGCAACACCGTCTCTCAAGCGATAACGAACTCCATTATGATCACAGACGACCATAAAACCCACGCACCTGCAAATTCCGTTCCACAGAATTCTACGCTTCTCGGGGGACATCAACTTCCTGGTGCTGGAGTCTTCCCTGCCAGCGCCAACCCGAACATGGCCGCCTCATTGGTAGCTCAACCCCCTTTCCGGCTATCTCATTCAGCGACAGATTTGCAAGCACTACGAAAGAACCAATTCCCGGTTTCTCGGGAACCCTCCAGCACAACCCAAAAGATGCAATCCAACACCCCTGCTGTGTTCCCACCTCGAAACCTTTCGAGACAAGCTTCGCCGACCGACTTCCAAGGTCCCTCCAGCAAGCGACGTAAACAGAGTGGTTCGGGTAAACTCCCTGTTGGGTTGACAATGACAAAAGTAGAGAGCTCTCGCAACGCAGTTGCGGCCGCAAACCCTGCTTTAAATAAGCAGAGCTCTCAAACGTCTAGAAAACAACCATTCAATGGACAAGCTGAGAGACCGTTTGTGATACCTGCCTCGATGACCCCGCAATTCGGAAACGGTCCACCCACGCCAAACAACAACGATATGGCCTTTTTCAGCCCCATCGATCGGCCCAGATCATCTGAAAACCCTCCCCAGCAACAGTTGATATCTGCCCCAAATTCAGCCCAAACAAGTCGGCCCGGAAGCCCAGGCCCCGGTAACCACTTCCAGAGTCCTACAAACCCCCCGGCCGGTCCTGTTATGTCGAGCCAGTTGTGGGGTATTCCTCCACCCAATCCTCCAAATCGACTACCCACCATGATCCACAAACTTGTCCCCTCCGAAGGCTCAACCACGGGCGGAAGTGAGGTAACACTGCTAGGTAGCGGGTTCTATCCAGGAATGGAAGTTGTATTTGGCGATACGCTAGCGACAACAACCACATTTTGGGGAGATAAATGCTTGAATTGTCTTACTCCTCCTGCATTGCAGCCTGGCACTGTACCTGTTGTTTTCAAACATGAACACCCAACTTTTGGACAGGTCCAGCCATCGACTCAACCCATAATTCCGAAGCAACCGATATTCTTCCGCTACGTGGATGATCGAGAGCTTCAGATGTACCGCGTCGCACTTGGCATTCTGGGCCAGAAGCTGAGAAATCCTGCAGACGCGTTTCAGACCGCTCAGCAAATCATGGGCGGAGGATCAAGCAATATGTGGAACTTGCAGGGTAATTACCAAGGCAATGGACACCAAGGTCATGGAAACCAGAATTCACAGGAAACCATTAATGATTTAGATGCGAAGATGCTTGTTTATCTTGAGTTTATGGATTTGGATGACAGTCCTAGGTCACCACGCTTTAATCGCCGGTCTCCTTCTGGACAGACCCTTCTTCACTATGCAGCTTCACTTGGGTTAACTAGATTTGTTGCTGGACTGCTTGCCAGGGGTGCGAATCCGAATGTACAAGATAATAATGGCAACTCGCCCCTGCATTTGGCGGCTTTGAGTGGCCATACTCACATTGTCCATCGTCTACGCTTGGCTGACGCAAACGCGGCTGCTACGAACTTGCGCGACTTCACACCGGCTGATCTTGCAACCTCATTAGAAACGCATCAAGCAGTCCTTGTACCTGCTCGACACTACCGATCGCGTAGTGTCGGTTCAACTCGGTCGTTGCGCCGTCGCCCAAGTACTGCATCACTTGACATGTCCTGGGAAATTTCATCCGGCGGTTCCGAAAATATTGTGGTGGATTCATCGGATGATTCATCGGATGAAAGTGAAGAACCCGACGCTTCAGGGGAAGCTTCTGACACTGCCTTCTACTACCCACCATCCCGACGAGCGAGTACTCGCCAGGACAGCAATGCTGGCTTCTACTTTTCCCGTTCTCACGAATCTAGCTCTCAACCTAGCGGTGGACTACCACCAGCTGATGGAGAAATCGAGGTTGCAGATGAGAGTAATGTGTCGTCACCTGCAAGGCTTATGGCCTGGCGCAACCAACTCGCGGCTCAAATCAACCAATTCCAGCAGAGTGTCAATTGGACTTTTCCCAACCTTCCAGCTCTACCTCCGATGCCGACGCTTCCAGATTATCAAACATATCCTATGATGCGGCGGATTACATCCCTCGTCCCGCAGCGGCCAACTACGTCATGGTCTACAACTGTGGTTAAGGATAGCTGGGACCGCTTAACTGGCAACTCCTCCCCGCCAGCCTACGAGGATTTGTATCCAGTTGATGAAGCGGAGGAGGATTATGAACTCAAGAAATCGTTAATGGTCCAGGCTGCAAGGGACGCGGCACTCGATCGGCACTTCGAAACGTTTTCGGAAGGCGAGGCGTCATCCTCTAGCTCCGTCTCGATCCCCAAAGAGATTGGAGATGTCAGAATCGGACGTGCAAATATTCCTCGTGAGCAACAAGAGCAGCTGCGGCAGGCTCATGCTCGCAAGATGAAGAGGATCCGCAGCGATCGAAACCTCTTTTTCATCTGGGTAAGTGGCATATACTCAACTTCTCTATTAAGTTTTTGCACACCGCACAAATACTAATATT